CTAGAGCACTTAAGTGACACTTAAAACATTTAAGAAAATTGGCACAAACAAACGTCAAGCAAAAACAAGAACTTGGTTTCTTTGTAGATAGATTTAGAAAAAAAATTAAATTTTCTGGAAGTCAAAAATTAGAAACATGATCTAATGTATGGTTACTCTGCTAAAACATCTGTATGAGATTTAGGGGAACTGATCTCATAAATTCATTAGAATACATTTGGTTTTGTTAAAAATAAATCCAAAAATGTCTCAAATGTGAAGTTAGCCCTGAGAAATCTAGCATCATATGTCTGCAGATCATGCCACTTGGATTCATATGAAATTCAAGTATTTTGAAGTGTCTTACATCATTGTTAAAAGTTTTGGGGTCAGTGAGATTTTCTTTCGAAGAAATTAATACTTTCACTCAGGAGGACATATTCAATTGATCAAGATGACACTAAGTACACTTATAATGTTACAAAAGAGTTCTGAACTAAACGAATGATGTACTTTCATTTTTTTTAAATCCTTAAAAAAAGCTATCACGGTCGGTTTCCACAAAAACATTAAGCAGCGCCACTATTTTCAACATTGATAATAACAAGAAATGCTTCTTGTGCAGCAAAGCAGCATATTAGAATGATTTCTGAAGGATCATGTGACACTGAAGACTGGAGTAATATATTGTTATATTAAATTGCACAGTGTATGAAGTTTTATTAAACTGTAATAATTTCACATCAATACCACTATACTGTATTTCGATCAAATAAATGTAGCCATGCTGAGCACAAGAGATTTCAAAAACATTACAAAATCTCACCAACACCAAACTTTTGAACAGTAGTGTAAGTGTTCAGATAATTTTGGGGCCAATGTAATTATCCAGGAAATCTCAAAAACACAAGAGGAAACCTAAAAACAGAAAAAAATAAAAGCCTGCGGAAATGGACACTGAGGTTTTCCAGACGCAGATCAGGCCATGCCCTACAACAAACCCCTAAGTCAACAGTACTTCAATATAGAAAATCCTGCATAGTTCAGGGAGAGGCTACTCAACAGATCCCTATTGTTCTATCCGTTTATTATTTTATCAGACTTTGACGCAGTTTACTGAGGTACGGCTCGTCCACCTCACCTTAATCACTGTGATCTTTGGGGATCGGTCTGCAGGCTGCGAGTCCATGATAGAGAAGTTCTGCAGAAGAAATCACAATTCATTATTTTTTATATAAATCAATAGTAATGTCTGCTTTAAATCAAACTAAAACAAAAAATTAGAATAGAATATCAGAACTACTCATATACATAACGCACCCTTTCATCATCTGCTCGCATGCGTTCATAATCAAATTGCATTGTTTGTTGGAAAGCAGATGAAAGGACTGAGCACCAGCCTACGATCTGTGTGTGCTGAATAATTGGACAGATTCTCCATCAGCATGCAGCAAAGATGTGGGATCGGGCAGGGCGTGTGGGCGTTTAGCCAAGGCCACCAAAAGGATATGCTTACATACCAAATACAGCCACGATAGAGATGATACCATCCATATCGTTGCTCTTAAGATCCACGACTCGGCACCTGCTTTAATCCATAATCACTGAATATCAGCCAAACTCTTTAGAAACTTGGGCTCTCTGGACTAAATAAAGCAGTGTGATATTGAAGCTAGACACTGACACCAGTGTTATTTTAGAAGCACTGAGATAGTATTAGACTTTATTCATATATTTTTTTTGTTTTGTTTTGTTAATTTTAGTAATTTTGTTGAGTTTTTTATTATTATTATTATTATTTAAAGTTTTAATTGTTTAAGTTTTAGCTGTAGTTATTTTAGTACTTCAAGTTAAACTAAATGAAAATGGGAAATGCTACCTTGACAACCTAAGTTTTTCCTCCAAATAACACAAATGTTTTCTATGGGTTTATTCAACAATAATAACCCAGTCTGACACATGATGACAAAGTCTGGGATTCATTTCAAAACATCCTTCTAGGTCAGCAGAGCAGGAGGTGTAGATTTATTATGAGTCCATGCAGTCTACACACAAATTCACATGGCTTGTTATCTTCAAGCAGAAGCCATTTATCCGTCTTCCTCAAGCTTCACAATACAAGTGGACAAACTCAAGTGCATTCACTCCTACCCTTTTCACAGTATCCATGGCAACAAGAAGCAAATCTACTCTGCAAAACTGATTCTATAATGTTATTGTATTGACTAGGTGAGATATTGATTCAGACACAGCCTTATTAATTAAGAGCACATTTAAACAAGTCAAACTTTTATTTTGAAAGATACCATAAAAACGTTTTAAATTAAGAATAGAAATAATGTATTTAAAATTAATAGAGACTACATATTCAAATATCGTCAAAAATCTATTTTAATAACAAAAGCTGCATGTTTAAGTAGTAAACGATTTTTGAGGAATTCAGATTTTTTTTTATTGTAAGCGTTTCATAGAACTACTGTTTAGAAAATTGTGAAACAAAAAAATAGTGCGTTTAATAAGTATCGTAATTAGTTCGAGTAGGCTAATGGTTTGATGTGGTTAGCCACTTAGCCGCTTGCTGCTTTCACGTCAACAATTAACGTTTGTATGTCACTACGAAAAGTGTGAGGTTACTAAAACACAAATGTTCACTCATCCAAACAGGATTGTTGAATTAGTTGACGACATCTGTATATTCGCTCATCGTTCGGCTCAAAAACGTCATTTGAAATTGACAGCAGGAGCGGTTACTTCCTATTACGCAGCTTTAAAGTCCAGTTAAAATGTGTCGTGAGAAGTAAATGTTGCGTTATTGTGAATGAGAAGTGATTGTTTTAAACACTTTAAAATATAGTTAAACGTTCTTAGACTGTATATGAACCACAACTCGTCTGTGGGACCAAATTATAGACAGGATTGAGTGGCGCAGAGGCGCCGCAGTGGAGCTCAAGGCACCGGCTGAAGTCGATGAGACTCGGACTCACCACGATGCCGCGGCAGCTTCCCTTCCTTCGCCTCCGCGACTAGCTCAATAAATATCCTCAGCCCCCGCCAAGAACAACTGTTCGCCTTGTCTACTAACGTCTCAGCTGTTGTTTCAAGGGAAAGACACAGGCGAGAGACGTGAAAACAGACCAAGTGAGCCAGCGATACATAGTAGGGCCCTCCTTGTCAGCCGAGCTTGTCTACTTCGCAGCTGTTGTTTCAAGGGAAAGACACAGGCGAGAGACGTGAAAACAGACCAAGTGAGCCAGCGATACATAGTAGGGCCCTCCTTGTCAGCCGAGCCAGCCATTTCTCTGTCTCCTCACCCCTCCTTCCTTCCTCCCTCTACTCAGCCGATCCCTACCCACTCCACAAGCTAGTTATATTCAACCAGGCTACTCTTATAACCGCTAATATGGATTTCTAAACTCTAAAGTCTTGCGAACATACTGGAAAATGTTTTTCAACGCACACCCGAGTACTCACCATCAGCTCTAAGGTTTTGTCCTCCATCTCCGGCTCCATGTCTGTTCCCCGAAACTCGCAGTGAAAATGGAAACCCCGCCCTGCGACACAATCACGTCACAAAAGGAGGCGGAGAAAGTAGCCTTGTGTCTAAGTCTCCCATTGGCTGTCAAATAAAAAAACGTGCGCCAAATGGGCGATGTCCGCGTTGTGATTGGATCATTTCTGCTGCTAAAGTACAAAGCGGTTACAGACACAGTACGTCATAATCGAAGAGGGATATAATCTGTAACAACATTCGTGGTTGGTCATCGAATGACAAAAAGGGTTTTGTCCGTTTTGTAAAATGAATAGCGATTGGCTGTCGTCTGGCGCTAGGGTAAAGAATGGGGTTATCCCCAATGATTCACATATTAAGAATATTTCTAATTGTTTGCTGGTGACATCCTAGCCTGCAGCCAAATATTATTATTATTATTATTATAAGTAGGTCTAAACAATTTATTAAATGAATAAAATTCTGAAGCTATCAGAATGTTTACCTTTGCTTTCCAGTTAAATTGCTTACAATTTACTTTCTCATAGTAAGCGAAATAATCTCGTCAAACTTCGAACCCATAAAACTAAGTATATCAAATAAGATAAAACATACTCGCAAAATAAACAAGCTATAAGTGCAACTTGCAAACAATGAAAACGTTTAATGTCTGTGTCCAGATGTAACAAATGATTTATACAAAAGAATGGATAAAAAAAAAAAATAATAATTCCAACATAATTGTTAAAATATTGTGGGCCCGTATTTTGGATCATTTTTTTCCTCTCTCTCCTTTTACATTATCAGATTGTGTGTTTGTTTTAGTAGGCGTCAAAACACCAACCATGCCACAATTTTTAAAGGTCCAAAATATTGATTTGCAGCTTGTCTTTCTAAAACCAATATGTTGTTAAAATATGACTGGACAACATGGAAAGAACTTAAGAGGCTTGTAATCTGTGGGCGGGTTACAGACTCCGAGATGTGACTTTTTAAAAGGGAATTAAACAGCCAAACTGACATATACTCACTCACACATCACAGTTGACACAGTAACCCCCCACCCCATAATCGGTCCGAAAGGACATTCCCATGCATAAAGCCGTGGAATACCAATGAGTGCTGAAGGCTCGAGCTAAGATTTTATGTTCAGAAACAGCAGGAGGCTGACGTTAGGGTCCAGATGCTGGTACACTGTGCCGTCGTATCTCACAAACTGCAAAATTCAGGCACTCATATATAGTTTATTTTGAGAAGTAGCATCTCCTGGGGGCTGAAGGAAAACAAGTGAGGGCAATGTACTGTGAAATACGGTTCTCGGTCTTCAAGACGGGATGAGTCCAGTTACTATATGGTCCATTTGAGAGCAAGAAACGCCTCAATGTGGGCACAATGCGATGGGAGGAGCAGGGTGTACCACTGGCTCAGAGTTCATCACCCTCGAGCTAAGATTTTATGTTCGGAAACAGCAGGAGGCTGACGTTAGGGTCCAGATGCTGGTACACTGTGCTGTCGTATCTCACAAACTGCAAAATTCAGGCACTCATATATAGTTTATTTTGAGAAGTAGCATCTCCTGGGGGCTGAAGGAAAACAAGTGAGGGCAATGTACTGTGAAATACGGTTCTCGGTCTTCAAGACGGGATGAGTCCAGTTACTATATGGTCCATTTGAGAGCAAGAAACGCCTCAATGTGGGCACAATGCGATGGGAGGAGCAGGGTGTACCACTGGCTCAGAGTTCATCAGCACCACCACCACCACCACCACACTGGTTTACAGCAGAAACAAGGCAACAAATCAAGTCTGGGCTAACCAGGAAATTAAAACGAAGGCCTGGCAATGGGCTTGAGGTGGCTAGAGGCAAGCAGTACAGCTCTAATCATTTGCTACTGCTTTCTTCGTACACTGAATAAGAGAAAATATAATACATTTGAATAAAATACAACAGCAGCAGATGCCATTATAAAAGGAGAGGCAAAAGGAAGAAAAGGAGTGAGATTAGAAGGGAAGAAAAAGTAGATCTGAAAGCCTAGAGTGTTTTCGTGAAGAGCTGAGGCAGGACAGGCAGACGGGCCATGGCCATGCTGTTGCGATGACCCGGTAATTAGTGGAGAGGAGAAAACTCAGTCTCTTCCAGTCCAGAGATGGAGTCGCTGTATTCTAAAGCCAGGGACCATCCGCCGCCATCTCAAATTCTTATTCTCCCTCCTGCTGATTCGATCTCCTTCGCTCCCCTGCCGTTTGCGGGGTAGGTGAAGGGGGAAAATCTTATATTTGAATTTTGTGTCAGTCCCGACTACCTAGTAGTCATCTAAATCAAAAAACTCATCATCATCTCCCTGGTAATCCATGCCTTGGAAGTCCACCCGGTACCGCAAGATTCCTGAAGAAAAAGAAAAAAGATATTGATTTATGACCCTACAAAAATTTCCATTTCCCTACAAAACGTAATCCGTAGAGAGCACTTACCACCAATGCCTCCAAAGCCTTTCACAAACTGTGAACCCTCCTGGCTTTTGTCTGTAACGATTTCCAGCGTGGCCCCAAACTTCTTGTAGTTATTGGCGAACCACTCAAGCAGCGGCATGCTCTCAATCAGCTCATGCTCCTGACCCGTCTAAAATAAGAACATATGATACTGTTAACATTATACACCTCCTGCCTGAACCCAACATTGGCTAAACTGAAAAGCAAACATTACGCAAAAGGTGCAAACAATTAATCATGTATTTGTTCTTCTTTTGAAACAGTTATGAGCAAAATAAAAAAGGAAAGGTTGTTTTTACAAAATAAGAATTTCTGAATGTTCAACACTCCTAAAAATAAAGGTTCTTTATTGGCATCAAACCATCTTCAGCATCCACTGAACCTTTCCGTTACACAAAGTTCTTCATAGTGGAAAAAAGGTTCTTCAGATTAAAATATTTTTCACAAAAAAAAAAAAAACTTCACTGAGAGGTTATTTGAAAAACCCCAAATTATCCTTTCTGCAACCTTTATTTTTAACAGTTTAATACTTCACTCTTTTGCTCTAATGAGCTGCATGAACTATACAAGTTTGTGTGAAACCTGAAGATCATGTTCCTCACCATGATTTGAGGATGAAGACCATCTGACCATTTGAGTTTATATAATCAAATGTAACAAATGTGCTTAAACAGGGATCTAAAATGAAGATCTAAAATAACTCACTTTATTTTGTAAGCACATTTGTGACATTTGAATATGATATTCAATGCAGTCTTAGATTTTAGAACCCCCAATGTACGATCCTGAGAAATCAAAACAGAACTGCAACGAGCTTGGTACTAATAGGCTGATGACAGTTTAAAGATCAAGTGTTTCAACCCACAGGCTGCTGATCTGATTTCAGGCCATGAGAATTGATCATTGGTTGTTTGAGTACTGCACTTAAAACTCCACAAGAAAGTCACTCGGGGGAAGGAGTTATAGCTATTGTTGCTTCTACATTACTTTTCAAAATAAATACGATTTGCTGAATCATATAATCTGAATTTGATTGACGTGGTTTCACTTACCTCCTTGTCAGTGAAATGAGACTTGTCCTTCTCCTGTTCCGGTGTCAGATAGAGTGTCTTTTCATCTGATTACAAATTTTTTTTTAAAATTAAATTAAAATGAGAAAGGAATCTTTTTATATTTTACAAATAGTGTGAAACTGTGAGTATGCGAGTTTAGGGTGTGTGTATACCATTTTCTGGTGTAGTATTTTCTCCATGACAGCGTAGGACATAACGCATAGTGTCCAGGTTCTCATAAACTATAAGAATCTCCACCGCTCCCATCTCCAGCGCTTTGAGTGTGTCTTCAACTCCAAAACAATACTTCCCTGTGTCCTGACTGATCTCATCAAAGTATCGGCCTGAAATCAGAGACAAAGGTCACCACACCAGAAAAAAAAACAAAAAAACACCAAAGCCCAGGTTTATGTCACAAAAAATGTTTCCAGCATGTCCATTTTCTTTTATCAAGCCTGCAAATTAAACTACCTATTAGTTTCTTTTCTTGGATGAACTTGACATTGGACAGCACTTCCGCTGAAAGCTCAATGGCCTGGTTGAAACCGTTCTCTCCTCCATACGATATATCAACCAGCTTCAGAACCTTCGCTTGTAACCTCTACATGTGCAGAAGAACCAAAGTCAGAAACCAAGCAGACTGATTAATAAAGGTTGTAAATCATTTGATGCCATGAGAACAAACCGGATCAAACATGTCTGACTGGCTGAGCTCCGTCTTGAAATCGGCCGATCCGGCAAGAACCAGTCCTGCCACGTTGACCTTGTCATTGGACACGAAGAGTTGCACAGCTGTCTCTGCTACCTTACGCACATAGTTATGTCTCTTCTCCATCCTCAAACGTGCAAATCGAAGAGCGGACTGTCCTCCTCTACCTAGAGTTTTAGGAAACAAGCTTGTAAACACTAAATTCCATAAAAGAATGAAAATAGCCACAGCAAGCAATTTAAAGATGTTTACCGTGTTTTTTGGGCAGGTCCACAGTAAATTTGTGCAACACCTCCCTTGTGTTGCCTTGTAAAGTCCCAAACAGGGCGCCACTACCATCAATCACAATGAAGCCGAACTTGCTGTCGTCTGACAGCAGAGCTGTTAGAGCCTGTGGATACAAAAAAAAATTATATTAGGTGTTACAATGTTTTAGTACATTAGATAGATAGAATAGATAGATAGATAGATAGATCTTACCTCAGTATGGAACTTGTTGTCACATAAATACAAGGATGTGTTGATTGGTTTAAAAGGCTCAAAATCAATGTTTACTTTCTTCTCTTTGCCTTCCTCTGTCACTATGGTGCCACAATACACCACCAGGCCATTAGGAGGCACTGCAAGATAAACAGAAGATTTATGGGAGGGGGATCAGGAGAGACCACACCTATTGAAAAGATTAAATCAGGTGCAACGGCCAATTGTACTCACATACACAGCAAATATATATATGAACTGCCAGTTTAATGTTTAAACGGCACCATTTCGGAAAAGATAAACATACCAAGTGCAATAAAATTCAATCATCTGAGAAGTTAAATGGCTGTGAAAGATCATAGATGAAGCTAAGCCCACTCATTTACCTTTGTTGTAGAGTTTGAGTCTCTGCTGTACTGAGGTAATGGCTCCCAGCACAGAGAGTCTGTTGACTCTGCTCTTGATGTTCGAAGCCGTGCCGAACTCATCGGCCAACATCTTCGCAACACGCGAGATCTGATCCTTGGGTGGGATGATGAGGGAAATCATACTGGTGCCATTTCTGAGAAGGAAACAATATAACAGAAATATAAGAGCAGGCTGAGACTTTCATTAACATACAGTACCGTTTCAAAAGTTTAGGGTCGGTAAGATTTTTTAATTTAAAATGTGTAAAAAAAAAAATATATATCTTATGCTCACCAAGCATTTGCTCAAAATACAGTAAAAAAAAAAGTAATATTTTCAGAATTTAAAGTGTTTTCTATTTAAATATATTTTAAAGTGTAATATTACTGTAATGGCAAAGCTGAATATTCAGCAGCCATTACCCCAATCTTCAGTGTCACATGATCCTTCAGAAATCATCCTGATTTTGAATATGCTGGTTTGGTGCTCAAGAAATACTTTTTTAAAACAATTTAATTATTATTATCAATGTTGAAAACAGTTGCGCTGCTTGATATCTTTATGTAAACTGATCATTTAGTTTCAGTAATCTTTGCTGGAAAAAAAATTAAAAACAGGATTTATTCTAAATAGAAATTTTTGTAACATTACAAATGTCGATTGAATGCATCCTTGATAAACAACATCTTACTGATACCAAACTTTTCAATGGAATTGTATATACAATGCATCAATTAACCTAACTTTGTCAAAGTGTCAAGCCAATATATGATATAATCTAAACTGTTTATGGGCATTCTGGTTGAGGGATATCAAATACATCTTCAAGTCAGCATAAAATAGATAGTTCACTCAATTCATTTACATTGTTCCATAACCAAAAAAAACTGATGACTGAGGCTGTCATTCTGCTTAACCATTCACTTTCATTGTAAAAAAAAGAGGGAACTAAAGAAATGACCACATAAGTCTCTTACATTTTGCAACACGCTTTATACTTCACAAAAGAACAAAAAAATAAAAAATAAAAGCGATTTAGATCAACATGGCTGTAAGAAAATGACAGAAAATTCATTTTTGGGGTGAACTAACGGCGACTGGTTGTATTACGCCATTAAACACTAAGACAGTATTCAGCTACAACAATGTTAATAGCGTGATATTAAAACGACGTTTAAAAAACAATTACTTAAGAGAAACAAAACATGTAGCCTATTTAGCATGGTTTCACCCATTTAACAAACGTCGCCTCCACCAACCCATTTTAAGGCGTCATTCATAAAGTGCTTTACATTTCAAACGACACCACATAAAACGTTTCCCGCTCTTTATCCTAAAACCAACATTATTATCGAAATGAAGAGCTGTACAGTGCGCGGTCTCGTTCTCCGTCCACCATGCTGCTCTCTCCAACAGCTGTTAGCAAGCTGGTTAGCATGTGGTCCCCCCAAAGAACGAAACGAATCGCACATCGGAGGTGCTACTGTTTGTCATTCAACAGCTGTATACAAATCTAGAGGATCGGACGGTGCGAGCCTCACCCTCTAGCCGCCTCAAGGCTTTTGATCAACTTCTTAATCTTCCAGATTTCCACGTTCCTGTCCGCTGCGCTGGGGTCGTCCGCCATCTTCCTCGCGCTGTCTGGACCTGCTGAAAAAGAGAATCCAACTTTAGCTTGCTAGCGCGAAGTGTTTGATTAGTAGCTATTTTCAAAGCGGATCGTTCACAATGGAAATCTGAAAAGACCGACCGGGGATCAGACAGAATTGTTATTTGATTAAAAGAAGGTCTGTTGTGAGTAGAAGAGAAAAGCGCGACTAAAGTTGGACGCGCTAACTGGCTAAAGCATCGCTGCGCGCGGGCCTCTCGCGCCCGAGAACATCCCTGCCACGCGCCGATCGCGCGAAACCATCCTTAAGCTATGATTTTATTTTTTAACACGTGGTCAGTTTTCTCGAAGCAATTTTATTATCGGACATTATCGCACTGTACTCACAGACTAGAATTATCCGCTCCGCCGCGTCCGTACGGCAGTTACTTTGTGGTCCACAGCTCGCTTGCCGCTGTTTCTCAGTGACGTGATACACTTATCATTAGCAGCCGGTTTGGTCTTGCTGCGCGTGGTGCTTCGGTGGAGGCTCACGTGGGAGGAAAGGCAGAAATTCCATTTAGTATCACTTCCTGAAAACGCCACGCATGGGGGTTGTATTTGAAGCTCTGTGATTGGAGGACTTTACTGTCAAACAAAAAGGGTGGAACACTGACTTTTTATTATTTATTTTATTTTTTGAATGCTTTATTTAGTGACAACCAGTGTTGGGACAGTAACTAGTTACAGTAATATTATTAAAGGTTACTACAGTAACTAGTAGTGTAACTAATTATTACTAATAAGATTTCAGTAATAAAATTACAGTTACTATTCATAAAACAGCTAGTTACTTTCGATGCCTTAACCCCTACTGTTTTAAAGTCCAACAATCCAATAATTCCTAGATTTATTTTCATAATTTTCATAACTGGCACATGAAGTCACCAGTGCAGCAGGCATGTGGAAAATGAAAACGCTTACATTCAGTGGATATAAATATTGCCATTACTTTGATTTTGTCAGGAGAAAAGATGATCTGAACACTGATGTGTAAGTTGTGGCATTATGGAAGTTGTGGTATTACTTTACTCTAGCTTTACATGGCCCACCCACATCCCTCAATCACCACTCAGTGTTTGTAATAACTTCTGACTGCGATCCAATGTGGATTTTGGTCAAATGATGAGGCATAAATATATTGTTAGTAACATTTTAGAAGAATTTTATGGGGAAGATATGCAACTTATGTGGGGCGGAAAGAAAAATAACTAGTAGTGTAACGAATTACTGTTGCCAGAAGTTAATAAGTAACATAATAATATTAATTTTGAAAGGAGTAACTAGTAATGAGTAATAAATTAAATTTTTTGAGTAACTAGCCCAACACTGCTGACAACTCACATAACAAATAGATACAAAATAAAAATAACAAGAATATTATAGTAACAATAAGTAATTAAATAATAAAAAATAAACAAAGCAAAGATAAAGAACTATATTTGGGGTAGTGAAATCAAATCAAATTCTGAAATATTTTTGCGTAATTTTTACACATTGTTTTGCTTAAAATATAATATTTCCACCCCTTTATTGCTGTAATGCATTTATTTATTTGTTGTTTGGTAATTTCAGTTTTCAAATGAACTTATTTTTATAATGGTATAATAACAATACAATTCTTAATTTCTTTAAGCAAAATAAAACCTTTAACTTTTTTTATTTTCTTTTTAGCTAAAATATGACCCAGACTCTTGACAGTTTTTATGAGATGCACCCTTTTGTTTTAAAAGCACACAATTATTTTCGGTTTGTTTCAAAACTGCAACTCTGCAAGAAATATTTGCATGTTTGTTTTAAAAAAAAAAAAAACTAATCTTGAAAAATGCTATCAATAACTAAAGTATAAGCAGACACTTTTATTATTTTATTTTCATACTGAAACCTGACAATACATTGTCATAATATTCAGTACTAACACACACACATCCCTGTTGTTTTTATTCACTTCTACTTTACATAAAGAAAACTAAGCCTTCCATTAGGATCATTTTGCATTGTGACTTTTTTTTGAGAAATGAAAATTATTTTATTTTGCATTTTATTTTACTGCATTATGGACTTGGAAGGGAAATATACTTAACTCTCATGGAAATAATGTCACAAAACCTTTAACAGTCTTTAAAAAAGGCTTAATATTCTTTAGACAAAATATAATTATATATTTCTTCATGATACATGATTTAAAAAAAAAAAAAGCGAGAGAGAGAGAGGGAAATGGTATTGCATCTTTGTCCAGGTCCTGGAGTTTCCCATGCACATTTTGGATGACTATGATATTTAAAACACCTTTATTTTTATCATAAACCCATACGTCAAGCCTCCAAGACCATATCTGGGAGTCAGGACCAGGACTGAGAACTAATAACAGTACTAACACATTTAGCTCTGTTGTTGTCATGTTATATATAATATAGATATTGTGATAATACATTCATCTGAATTTATTATTATTATACAGCATTACGTCTCTCCTGAGTTAGAGTTATTAAATGACTTTATTAATTCGCATCCTACACACAAATGGTAAACCACAAATCATACCTTCACAAACCAATGTCTAAAACAGAGTATAAAGAGACTTTAAAGTTTGTATCTAAACTAAATATTTCAGCAGATCTAGACTCAGCCCAGGACACTTTCAGCTACAATCACAAGAGTTCATTTTTCATGGTCTCTTGGTTCCTTTGCTGAGTTTGTCTCCAAGCTCCTGAATCAGTTCAGCAAGTTCTTCAGTGGCCTGTGACTTTTCCTCCAGGAGCTCGTAGCGGAGGCTGGAAATGTCCTGCTTGATTTCCTTCAACTCGCCTGAGAAGAAAAGCCACATGAAAACAAGGGTTTAAAGAGTTTCAAGTAAAACTTGGCACCAAAATCACAGTTACGGCCATTTTTAACATTTTACGGTTTATTGCTAGACACCAATCAAAGAAATGTGTTTATGGCCACACAAGTAAATCACACAAGAGACACTAATGGATGAATAAATGAGTCTTACCTTCATTGATCTCATCACTTTCACTGTCAATTTGGGCTTTTAGGACATACCGCTTGATGAGACGCTTCATGAGTTTCTGTGAGAGTAAGAACGTTTAGAACGACATTTTGCAATATTGCAAAATGTATTATATCGACAATTTGATGATTTATGTACATACAAGTTTTAAGATAAAAATCAATCAGTACCTGATATCTTGTGGGATGTTTGATAGGATTTCTAACTGTGAAGCCCTCTTGTGCATGGTAAGGTTGAAACCGACGAAGCTGAAAAGATATCAAAATTACAACCTGCGATTTCTACATTTGAACAGTTTGAAAATCCTTGCTGATCTCTGACCTTAGAGCGTGAATTGGCCATTCCCACGTCCTGCTGGCTGCTGTTGCTACGAACCCTGGCCTTGCATAAACACACTAGGTATGCTTTAGTGCGCTGAGCCATGTAATAGAAGGATTTGGGGCTGGGTATTAGATTAAAGGGGGGCGGAAGAGTGCTGCCTTCATCAAAATAGGAGAGCCACAGCTTTGCACGAGCAAACTTCCATTCTACATCAGCGTCCTCCTGTTCTCACACACACAAATATAAACATATGCATGACAAACTATCCTTTTGAGTAGTATTATTATTATTTATTTTTTTATTTTTTCAAAAGTACATTTGTCTCACCTCAATCTCCTGGTATGAGTGGTTGATCATGGCTATGAGCATGTTGAGCAGGACCACCACCATTGTGACATTATAGACCCCAAAGAGCACGTAACCAATGTTCTCAATGAACTTATGATCGTACTTCAAAACCACAGAGATCACCTCAGATAAACCAAAGATGGACCAGAACAGTGTTTTAAAGCTTTCCTCTACCCTGCAACAGATACATACATGCAAAATGTTATTGAAACATTCCAAAACAGTGCTTGGCAAAACTGGTATCATGTTTTCAAAACATGTACAACTTTCTTTTGTTGGTGGAACAAACACCAACACATATATATATATATATATATATATATATATATATATATATAC